TGAGGTTGCTGTGAGCTGTGAATCCACAGTACTCTGCCCACAGTGACTGCTTGAGACTGTCTCAAAAGAAAATTTTTTTTCTAAAGGAGGGATGTTCACAGTTCTTCACAGTACCTGAACGCAGGTTTTGAGTCAGTCTTTGACTATCATTAGGTAGATCCCTTTCTCCTGGCTTTGAATGGTATACATAGCTATGGCCCACTTCCCTGCTGGGCTAAAGATGGCAGTTCCAGCATGGTTTTTGTGATACACAGAAACTATGAGCTTACAAAGAAAACTGTGAATAAAGACCTAGTAAACCAAGACCCATGGGCCAGATCCGCTGGCTGGTTGGTTTTGTAAATAAAGTTTTGTTAGAGCGTAGCCATGTTTATTCATTTATGTATTTGTGTGTGGCTACTTCTGTGCTATAATGGCAGAGTGGAATAGTTGTGACGAGGAGGGGGGCCCACTAGACCTGATACACTTATTATCTAGCCCTTTGGTAGAGCAAGTCTGCAACCCCTGCTACAGATTAACAAATCAACTAGAGAATTCTTAAAAAAGAACAGGGCAGAAAACTCTGGTATTCCCTCAGGAATAGAACTTTGAGGGTCTGCTACAGACAGTATTTTTCCAAGTGCTCTTTGTTGTGTTTGTGAGAATATCAAGAGAAGAGTTCTCTGGTTTCTATGTTGAAAGAACTCTTTGGAATAAAGACTGGACATTTCTGATGGAAATGTTGCTTGTGGATCAGAATATAGAATTGTGCTTCTCATGTTCTCACTGTGGTTCTTGTCCAGGCAAGTTTGGAAATGGTGACTCCTTGAAACCATGCAGGCAGCCAAATATTCCAGCTGATGTTTTTTGTGTGTTTTTTTTTTCTAAATTTAAAAATAAACTTAGTAGAATTTTTTTTTTCACAGCTCTCTAAATATTCTGTTTTGAAACATTTAATTACCTAGGTTATTTATATGGAAAGGTCTGATAATGTTTCTATGGGAGTATGTTATTTATTTCTTTTGCTAAGTTTTATCTTATATTAGGGGAAGGGCTGAGGTTGGTTACCATGGCAACATTCTTAAAACCGCAACAGTCCCTTTATGTATGCTCAAACTATAGTCATTCTGGTGGGAGGACAGCATGGGGAGTGGGTGGTAGTCTTTTTATTTTTGTTTTGTTTTTCTTTTCTTTTTTTTTTTTTTTTAAAAAAAACCTCTCCTACTTCTAACCCTTTTGCATTTATTTATTTTAAGCCTTGCAGCTTAGGGTACTAAAATGAGAAACCAAAATAAGAAAAGGGAGCCGTCTCTCTTTCCATTAAATTTCTATGGTCCTGTTATCGGCTCCATTTGTAGGGATATCCGGTGTTCTATCTGATCTTTTATTCATTTATGCATCCATTTATCCTGCCAGCTTTTACTGAGGCCTACTCTGTGTTAGAGATGAATACGATAGAATCTTTGTTCTTATTTCTCCTTTTAAATTACAAATTTCTTGAAGTCATTAATTCACTTTGCTTTAATTCAGTGAAACAAATATTTATTGAGCACTTGCTCTATACCAGAATCATGCTGGCGTACAAAGATGAAAAAGAAAATAGGAAAAAGAAAGAAAAAAAGAAGAGCTTCTGTTAAAGAACATTGTCTTGTTTTGTTGGGCAGCACAGGGAAGGGCAGGTAGTTAAGTACAGAAATGATTAAAATAAAATTTGATAAATGCTAATACAGAGGCACTTAATCTACGTACTGCCAGCCTGGAGAGCATAGAAAAGACTCTGACAACAAAGAGGTGACATTGGGCCGATTTGAAGACAAATAAGTATGTTCTAGTTAGGGCCTAGTGTGTGTAGGGCGTGTAGGTAAGGGTGTTCAGGTGTGTGTGGGTGAAGGTGGGTATGGTGTTCCCAGCAATCTGGACCAACAAGAATAGAGACACAGAGCTGAGGGTGCCCCAGGCTCCTTCAGAACTTGAGAAACATGGGGATGAGTGCCAGGAGAACATCGGCAAACACCGCCTATCCCTAAACCCGTCCAGAGAAGTCACGTGTGGACACTGAGCTGTTGAGAGGGTCAGACAGAAGAGCAACTGGAGTGCTCCAGGTCAGAAAGGTGTTTCTGTAGGTGGTGTGTGGGAGATACAGGAAAAGAGGAGTGATTGGATTGGGAAGAGACATGGAGATTTGTAAAAGATGGCAAGATTCATCTTTTTCACAGAGATCTATAATCCATTTAAATTAATTTTGTGCATAGTATGAGATAGGGATGGAGGTTCATATTTTTTTCTTTTGCTATGGATATCTATCTAGCTGTTCGAGCATAATTTGTTGAAATCCTTACTTTATTGAATGGCTTTGGTGACTTTGTGAAAAATCAATTGACTATGGACTTATGGGTCTATTTCTGGACTTTCTATTCTCTTCTGTTAATCCATTTGTCTATCCTTTTGCTGATACCACCTTGTAGATTCAAGGTAAGTCTTGAAGTCATGTGATATAAATTCTCCAGTTGTTTTTTTTCTAAATTGTTTTGAGTTTTCTAGATCCTTTATAGTTGCAATTGAATTTTAGAACTAACATGTCAGTTTTCATTTTTTTAAGCCCTGCTGAAGTTCTGATTGGGATTGCATTGACTTAAAATATTAATATGCATGTACAGTTCATTGCTTAGCCAGGGATTGTGGGCAGGGGGAGAGATTTATTTGCAGATTTTAGGGCTCACTCATATGTGACTTTCCATTCCAACATTTTCCTCTCTTAACTTTCTGTAGTTCTGCCTTCCCCCCAATCATATGACACCTCAGTCAAGTCAAGTAAGGAAACTGAGGCTTTCTGCAGCCCCAGTTATGTGTGAATTGGGCGTGTGCATAGGCAAAAATTTGCAACCTTGAAAATTCCATCCATTGCAGCGTGTCTTTTCATGGTCATCTCTGTGCCAGTTTTTGACAGACAGTGGTCAATGTCCAGTGCCTTTGAGTAGTGTTTTTTTAATTTGCAAATTTAGTTCAGATTTTATACTTGTTATCTGTGGTTCTGACCAAGCTGCTTTGCTATTAATAGAAGATAGAACACCTCCTCCACTACCTGCTACAGGTCCCTCACCCCTGCTTTTATATCCCTCGAACACTCCTGCCAGTTGTCCCTAGGGACATCTTCTAGATACGCAGGACTGAGCAAACCACTCCCTTCTTGAAAGCTCGTCAGTGACCCCTCACTGCCTACATTGCTCTCCTCTGCTCCCCCATCTTCCCTTTCTAGATTCTTCCTCGCTCGTCCCATGCACTCTCTGGCTTTGTGGAGCCATTTGGCATTCTCTAGACACATGCTTCCCTCGTGGCTCCTGACTGAAATGCCTGCCTTCTTTGGCTAACTCCCACTGCCTTTCAAAAGTTAGCTTGAAGCATCAACTCCTCAGGGAAGGCTTCCCCAAACTGGGTAACTCATACTTTCTTATTCTCCCACTGTTTTGGTGCATTTTAGTATCATGGAGTTGATCAACTTGTTTTTCTTTGTTGAATCACTGATTTGCTATCTCAGCTGTGGGCAGTGACCTCCTTGAGAGAAAGTTTGTGTTTTACCTGTGACTGCACATCACCCTGTATTCTTGTTGACGGAAAGAGGGGGGCGGTGTGGGCTTCGTGGGCAAATTATGGTTACATTTTAGGTATATTTATGATTAAATTTTAGCCATCTGATCATTCCTAAATATTTCCCCTCAGTCCTTTTACTCATGGGACTGGGATATTTAAATAGTGATATGAAATGAATAAGATAAAGTTAAAACTACAGAGAAGCCTTAGTTATCCAGAGGAAAACCTTCAGAATATGCACTAGGAGAGGATATATATATATTCTTTTGTGTGTGTGTGTGTGTGTATTTTAAAGAATCATTGAAAGAGAATAGAAGACTTCTATGAGTAGAAAGCAGTGACCAAATAAATGACTAAAGAGCTGATGATGCAAATATTTCACCTGTCAAGATGTGACTTAAAGTTCTGTGAACACAAAGGACAAGAATTATTCTGATTTCATAAATTAAGTAGCCCTTGAAGCTTTAATCAACACATCCTCAAAGTGCCGCCGAGGAACACTGACTGAAGGGATCAGACCACGGTCATTGCTGCTGAAAGACACAGGGAGCCCAGAGCCTTTCACATTCACCTGGACCAGTCAACCAACCAACCTGCCTCCCCTCCCCTCCCCTAATACCTCCCTCCTTCCCTCCCTCCCTTCTTTCCTCTACAAACCACATAGACATATATAATTTGCTTATTTATTTTTTTTGCAGTTTTTGGCTGGGGGCTGGGTTTGAACTCACCACCTCCGGCATGTGGGGCCAGGGCCCTACTCCTTTGAGCCACAGGCACCACCCGACATTGCATATTTTTACATAAATTCTTTCTTGGTGTAATCCCAATTTTAATCATGAAAGTCATTGTTGGTGAGCAGACAATGCCTTTTCTACTTTTTCTTTATGCTACTTTTTCTTTCTTGCCACTTGGCGCATCAACTAAAGTTCTCCCAGATTTTTTAAGGGCTTTTTCTTACAATTGGTAGTTATCTCATTACTCCTTACCCTTGTATTTTTCTCTTCTCAGATTAATCTGTAAGCCATTGCCTTCCCATGTTCATTTCAATTTGCTTCAAGCCTCTCCCACCATACACACCCAGTCCCCCAGATAACTCTCATTTGTCGTAAGGGCTTCTTCCATCACCTTTCTTTAAGACAACGATAATCCACTTCTTCCATTAAGTTCCCCTGTACTGATCGCTGATTGTTGATTGTATGGTAATATGCGTGTATGTGGTATGTACTTCCTTTAAACTTGTAATCACAAAATAATAAATGCATTATTGGACAGCACCTCTGGCTGAAAGGAGTAGGACGCCAGACTCATATGCCAGAGGTGGCGGGTTCAAACCTAGCCTCAGCCAAAAACTGCAAAAAAAAAAAAAAAAAAAATGCATTATTGACATGAAATAGATAATGTAGGGTAAAAAATGGATGGTTTTAAAAAAATTTATACTTACCTGGCAGGGAAGTATAAATGATCCATGATCACAAAGGTGGTTTTCCCAGGGCAAGGCTTATCCATTGTACTCCGGATGTGCTGACCCATGGGATTTCCACAAACGTGAGAAACTCAACTGAGTAATTTGTGGTAGTGGGGGACTGTGTTTGTGCCCCAAATATGCCTCTTCCTCTAGCCCCAGAGGTAGCGACACTTAACCCTTTTCCATGTTGTATATCTTTTTGTACTGTATTTTTCTAAGCATCTGTGAATGTACACACACACACATACACACACATATAGTAAGATGATGATGAAAATGTTTAACCATTACTAAGGCATCATACATATGTAACTCAGCACTTAAAAATGTGTTCTTTTCTATTCCTTAACTAAACTAAACCATATATAACTGCCAATCAAGTAATCTAAGTTAGAGGGTAAATCATTCATCAAACCATTCTAATATGATTATTTCCAAAGCATTCATTGATTTTTTAAGTTGCTGTGGTCTTTTATTTGACACAGCTTTCCTTGACTAAGGGATGGTTCTCTATGAACCATGATTTGAAGCAGGGAAAGACATAGTCAGTTCCATAATTCACTCATTGCATTGATGAGCATCAAATGCATAGTTTGAACGATACCGCTTTGATGCCTGTTCATGAGAGAGCATAATAGATCTACTTCATTGTCTGTAATGACAGTATAGTATCTCACAGTATGGATATAATCTACATTTTAACTATCAAGTCCCCTACTCTTTAAACTTTTCCAGTGTTTTGACATTACAAATAATGGTGCCAACACATCCTCTTACATCTTTGTGAATATTTTTGTGGGACAGATTTACAGACGAGACATTGTCAGGTCAGAGTGTATATGGTGATCAGTAATTTGTCCACTTACAGGAAATACTGCACACACCCTGTGGGCAAATGCTCTGGCATCTGTATTTATTTTCCCCTAGAAATATAAGCCCAGGTGCAAACACATTGAGGACACTAAATGTATTCTAAAACTCATTTGAGAATTTGGCACCAGGAGGGTGATACCCAGATACCCTCAGTCAAAGACATGGCCAGGTAGGCCAGGAAGAGGACTAAGAATGACAGAAGTACTTGTGGAAAGCGAGGGAGAGGAAAGGGTGGCAATCTAGAGAAATGTCAGGATCTACTTGCTTGGAGTGAGTGTCTATCAAACCCTGATACATCTTGAGTGCTGTTATTGTTATCGTTTTCCCAAGGAAAGAACTAAAGATCGTAACTTCTCTGCTTTAAGAGCTGGTTCCCTAACCAACTGCACCCCCACCCCCTTATATGA